AAGCTTTTCTGTATCCAAGGCACATTCCTCTTAGTTCCCTACAACAGCACCGGGAGGAGAAGTGGATTAGAATACAAAGTTAGCTGCAAGCAAAATGTACCACCACGAGTTCCTCAGATACAATTTAAATAAAATCATAACAACCACATGTGCAAGTTGCAGGAAAATATGATAAGGCTGATTCCTGGCTATCACAGGGTTCAGAAATTTGAGTTTCAGGAGTCTGACTGCCTCTAGTAGAGCTGAACTCTTAAGCCAGCCCTTGGGATCACAGAGCAGAGCATGGCAGACTGAAACAGATGTAAGACTCGTACTACACTGCAGATAATAAGCTACCTGCCATAGAGATGAAACAGGGAAAAAAAGAAGAAAGTTGAGGTTCAATGTAATTGTACAGGATTTGTCAGGTTCATCTGTAAGTATATTGGGGCTGGATCATCAGCTGTACTGATTGACAGTATTCACTGGAGATAAAAGCATTGTATTAGTCTACAGCAACTGCATACAGGCTTCTGCTGAATGCTGGTTGACACACTGACTGCACTGACATTGTATTTAATGTTCTGGTGAAGAACAGCTCAGCGACTACGTCGGTACAGCCACCCCATCCCAGGGACACGTGGCCATGCCAGTGCAGCACCCGGCCATACCGACCCAGGCTGGCCCTCAACTCTCTCCACAGAGGGCTTTAGCACTGAATTTTTACCCCAGGTAAATCACCCAGTTCCTCTCTGACAGTCAATTCTAATTGACTATTAAAATGCATTTGTACAGAAGACCACACTGTATCACAGGAAAGCCCAGACAAATAAGATAAAGAAAAAGCTTCTGCCATTCTAATTAAAGAAATACTGCATGAACTTCCACGAGCAACTTTATTTACAGTACTACCAAGGAAAAATGTAAACTCATTTTTCTCTGCTTTAGTGGTGAAGTGTATTTTTTTCCACTTGCTTCATCTATGGAATCGTCTCATTGACTTTTTCTTGGCCTATAAAGGCCAAACACAAACGATGTGGTGGATCGTAGCAGAGGCACTTTTTCATGTCAGTCAGATTGGAGTTTAAACCCCCATTATGTTCGGGAAGGAATTTGATAGAGGACATGCACCTAAGAGGAAAAGGTGATGTGATTTCTAGCGGCCAGGTTTGATGTAGAGATGCGAGTTTCTTACCACACCTGCTTTCTTAACACCAGGCAGTGAGATTGCAAACAAAAACTTGGAGAGAAGCAGCAGAGCATCTTTGATCCGTGTACTCCCATTGCTGCGATGGGGAGAGAGTCCATGCCTTCTTGCCCCCTCCTCACAGTTTGGGAAAAAAAGATAATAGGACAAACACTGTATTATCTTTAAGAGGAGATGTCAAGATGAAAAAATGAAAATGTCAAAAAAGAGGCTGATATACGGCATTACTTAAGGACTGTTTTGTTGAGAAAAACTGACCAAATGATTTACGAAAGGCTTTTAACAGGGCAGTCTTTGGATTACAGTGAAGATGAAAAATAAATGAAAATCTATTTCAAGTTTACTTTAGCCTAGTCATTTGACAGATGAGGGCAAAACCTGGCAAGAATACAAGTTTTAATCTTCAGATGTAGTGACTTTATTTGCAGTTTTGCGGATTAGAAGTTTTCTCTGTGCAAAACAAGAGCTACCCCTTTTCAGATGTTTCCTGTCAAAACTTTTTCTACCTGAGGCTCCCCTGAGAGAGACAGGGATAAAAAGACCAAAGGGATGATGCTTCTGCTCGGGGAGCAAATCACCACACACAGAGATTGTCCTGACTGCGTTGCAGCCCCTGTGTCCACCACTTTCTTCCCTTCCTATTTCTTCTTTCAAGCCTCCCTCTTGAAACACATCCCTCCTAATTAATTACTGGATTAACCAGCCTGGTATCGAGACTGCTCATGGCTGGAGGTGGATCTTGGAGCATGGTCTTGTTCTCAGTATGCACAGCCTGGCACATTTCTGCCTGGCCAGATGGGTCCCCCATCTGCTCCTATTTGAAGGAGAACTTCCTGGAATTAGGGTTTTCCTCTTAACCTTTGTTTGTATAATTCCTTTGCTTCCTATTTTAATTCAGTTGTGTTGGGTTTGTTGTTTTGGTTTTTTTTTTTCCTCTTTTCACCTTTGGGTTTGTTGTTTTGGTTTTTTTTTTTTCCCCTTTTCACCTGAAACACAGAGTCGAATTTAAAAGCCAAAGAGGCAGCCCTGCACAGTTTTAGGGCACACCTGGCATTAAATTAGCCCTGTTCTGCACAAAGGCTACTAAACTGGAGCTGCATCGCTACAGAAAAAGGCTACATTGGGGTAGAGCAGTAATACAGCAAGAATTATTTCTAGTGTGTAGGCTACAGAGAGCCCAGCAACATCAAACCAAACTGCCAGGAGTCAAAGGTAGCTTTCTGATGTTTGCTCAAGCTATTAGGACATGCTGTAATATTTTTCTGTACAGAATTTATAGATCAAGAGAAGCAGTTGATCGTTTTGAGACTGGTTAAAAAAAAAAAAATCAAGATGGAAAACGCAGAGCTGATATCTAATTCTATGAAGATCTGCCATAGTTCTATATTTATTATAAGCCTATCACAGCACATCCAGCTCCAAGACTTACAGAAAATGTGTTGCTAACTACCAAGGAATTATTGATTTTTTAATTTTTTCTCATCAAAGTGCTATTGCTTGGCTGTGGTAGAACTGATAACTTTTGGGGGTGAAGAAAAGAGATCAATATTACTATTATCAACTGGTGACTACCGTTTACAGCAGCAATAATCTCCTTTAAAATAGCTTGCAGAAGTACCAGTTGTCATCTGTGTAAGGTATTACTGTATTGGTCAAGTCACTAAAAAGTGATAGTATTTGATGTTTTGATTATTTTGTTTTGGTTAAATAAAATTTTGGTGACCATCAGGATTGTCTAAGTGTCAGATCTGAACCATGTTTGGCTGAGAAGAGCAGTGTTTGCTGTTGTTATTATCTTTACTGATAAGAGTGATTCATTCCCCTCATTAAGAGCAACTAATTTTTAGCCTCCTGTGCTGTTTCATACACTGTATGTTAATATAGTATTTAGAGGCCTCCCCAGTCACTAAGGTCTGTCTTCCTCCAGTAATGCCTTAAGTTATATGATATCATTTGTCACGGATTTTCCCCCCAAACCCTCTTTCCAAAAAGGTAGTTCCTGCAGGTTAGTGCTTTCTCTCAATAGAGGTTTCAGAGCATTTTTTCACATGTTGGACAGGGAAAGCATAGTTCTGACATGCTTCTGAGTTCCTATACCACCACAGGATACAGAGGAAAGCTTTATTGTGCCAGAACAGAAACGTCACTAGTTACGTCTACCTTAGCACTTTGGTTCAGCAAGTAAGATTGTGATGCACTTGCCCAGTTTTCTCTATTTTCTGCACACTAGATTATTCTTGGCACACACAGACTAGATTAATTTCAGAGAAAACTACCTGCACGTTCTGCACGAGCTTGGCCCAAAATACAAATAGCACCTAATGAAGGTACAGGAATCCAAACCAACAGCTGACCTTCAAGACAGCTTTGAGCAACACGCACAGGGGAACTTTGTTCAAGGGAACAGACTAAGTCTAGCCTGAAATAAAAGCCCCAACTGTCTACGATATAGATGTAACAGCCTCAACACTATCTTATCTGATCTACTGATTCACTCTTGATATATCTAATTACTTGCCAATGTCAACGTAACCATTCAGAGCTTTAGGCCTTCTTCTAGATGCCTTGGAGAAAGCACCTGCAGAGTTAATTTGATTCACAAGTCTACAGCATCTCTGAAATAATTTTAGGTTTTAACTTATTTTGAAAGCTCCTTCTGAAGGCCACAGACAGAGTCCACAAGTGCTGAATACATATGGAATAGAGTTATGGGTCTTCTAAAATGCTCTAATGCTCTGAGTGTTTCCATAAATGAGAATTTATAGCTGAATGTGTTTACATAGATATATTTATGTCAGTTTCAAGACAATGAATAAGCTTTAATAAGTTATTTGGTTATAAAGAGGATTCATTCTGTGGTTATTAATAAACTGAAGTCACAGAAGTAGTAGTTCTTAATGCTAACATGATATTCTAAATTTTCAATGAGGAAACAAAAGCCAGTTTGCAAGTTTTCTTTTTAACAGAATGCAGTGTTAATCTATTTGTTGATGTTCTAAGCTACAATTAATTACTTTATAAAACACATATGTGATGATAAAGGTTAAACTTGCCATCCTAGAACACGCAATGCATACCTTTTCTCCAAACGCTGGGAGAAGTGCTGACCAGAGAAGCCAGTCACTTGTTGAAGACCTCACAAGTGGAACTAATTAGATGTAGAAGGAGCTGTCAGTCTTGCCCTCCTCCTGCTCACATCAGAAGGCTACCCTGCCTGCCAATCTAACTCCTTAGTTTATGCTATTTTTACCATCTCCGTCTGATATTGACTTAAAGCCTGTAATTTGTCACACCTGGAATTATATCTGTTAAAGTTAAGGGTCTAAGAAACATGCCAAGGTCCACCCACATAGAACCTATCACTTCCACAGAAAGTATTTGAAAAACTTCCAAGTTAACATTAAAATACAGTCCAGTTGCACAGCTTTTCCAGGTAGATTGGTCAGACAACTGTCACTCATCCTAGGGGTTAACAAGAAGTTGTACTGTAGCCTTTTTGCTTCTGTTATCTACAAGCCAAAAGCAATATAGAATATTACCACAGGAACTTTTTTTCTAGAACAATACACAAAACCCTAATGAAACTGCATTTATGATATAACCTCAATAAAAATTTTAATAATGCTTGTTCATATATCACAGCTGTCAAGAGAGAGAAAGTGACAGTTCATATTTCAGTTGAGTTGACAACACTGTTGAGTTGTATAGAATAAACGTATACAACATGTGTCTTAGTCACAGTTTGATTACTAGTAGCTCTGAATGATTTAAGAATTAGAAATCTAAACCTGTCCACCTCTCTTATCTTTTTAAGGAGCATTATCCTGAACCCAGCTTATTTCCGGAACCACCTGCGCCAAGCTGCTGCGTTTCGGTACTTAGAGAGATACTCGGAAGCTGCAAGGTACTCCACTGCTCCTGGATGTCTCATGGCTTCTCTACAGCTCTTTCATTCCAGCTCTCAGTAGTAAGAGTATCATCTTATACCCTGGCTTTTCCAAAAAATCAGTGGGAGCTTTGTACTGGCTTTGTGTATATGATCTCACATGCGACAGAGCTCCAATCCTCCCAGTAGACATAACGTGAATAATCCCAATTAGGTCCCTCGTTGCATTTAGACTAATGTGTGTAGGAGCATTTACTCCTTCTCAGGCACAGGAGTGAGCCCTGGGCAGGTCCCAGGGCTGCAGTGGGGCAAAAGCTACACACACACAAGCATCTTCCACTCCCCAATTTCCCCATAACCGTGGGCAGAAGCTCAAGTGTGCTCTGAGTGGATGTGGGGGAAAGAAAAGAGAAAAAAAAAAATGAAAGAAAAATAGAAATCAAGATCTCATGGTACACTGTGATATGCTGCAAAATTTAGCCTGCGTGCAGCTGATGAGATTGCTGGTGTGAACGGGAACTGCTGGCAGGAGGAAAGCCTGCAAGAGGAAGCTCTGCTTGTGTGCTTGCAGAAACACTGCCAAAAACTAGAAGTTTCAACACGCAGCAGAAGTTTTTAGCCCTTTAACGTGCTTAAACGAAAGAAACGCATGGGGAAATGCAACGGTGACTTGCTATGTATCGTCACTGCTCCTAACATTAGACACTTACAGAGGACTGTTTGGCTGAAGACCACAAAGTATATCACAAAATATTTCACAAATCATTAGCTAACTAATGGCAGAACAGTCAGCGGGAATTAGGCGTGAGACTGAAAGGGTCACTTTGCTCATCATTTAAGATGGATGCCAGCGATGGTAGAGCTCTGAAGCTATTAAAATAGCAGCAAAACAGTCTGTACGGGTAGTGGAAGAAGTCTTTATCCAAGCAGAGTTACAGAGAGGATTTGGGAAGATGAACTTCAATTTTCTGTGCTGGAGTTTAGCCAAAGACTCCAGGACGAGCACTTTTCCCTCTGCAGGACACACATTGAGATTATGTCAAAGTAATCTCAGTAGCTTTCACACATCAGGACCAGGAGGAGAAATCAGTTCCCCAAGACAAGGAAACAGTTTTTCCACATTTTTTTAGAAATATGATTTCAGATAAACCTGAAATATTTCACTTGACCTTAAACTCACCCACACCTTTTCTTTTTTTTACTTTTGAAAACACAGCTCACATTTCAAGGAAATCTTTTTCAAACTAAGGAAGTAAAACGTTTTGTTGAAAAAAGATAGAGTGTTGTGATGGTTCCCAGATCTCCTTTTATATCTCACTGGTAACGGTCTCTTCTTCCTAAAATCTTCTGTTGGGGTGTTTATTCAGAAGGGAATCGTTACCTACTGAATCCTCAATAGTTGAGGTCCACTGCTCAGCCAGGCATGTCAGAGCTGCGTTAGGAGAGTATGTTGCTTTGTGACAGATGGGGAATCCTGGCCAGGACAATTTCAAACCCAAAAATTCACTAGTAGCCCAACAAGTGAAATAATACAAGGGGAAAACATCTGGGGTGCTGGGGTAAGGGGGGGGAAGAAGGTTTTCCCCTTGAAGAAGTCACACTGAAGATTTAAAAAAATAGTAACAATAACAAAAGGTAAAAAAAATACCCTTTTAGAAACTGATCTTTCCTAAGAAGCAATACATATAAATGCCCATATTTGAGAAGACAGTATGAACCAAGGAGGTGTACATAAATACGTTTTCAAAAATAAAAAAAAGGTGGTTGGTGTTACTGCAGATAAGCAATCAGTAAGTTTACTACATCAGCAGGCAAGAGGGAACTGTGTCAGCCTTTTTTCCCCACATTGAGTAGCTTTCAGGAAACTAGATGATTTTAAATGAGATTATGTATTTTGTAAAGGAGAGGAACATTCTGACAGACTGAATCCAGAGTGGTTCCAAAAGCAGTGACTGTAGCAGTATTCAGAGTTTAGCCTAGTTTAACATAGTGTTATAGCAACTGTGCAGAGCTGCTTCTGCAGATTGTGTTAAACTAAGCTTAGCACTGCTTCTGTCATCTCACTGGAGTCACTGGTCTCAGTCGAACCCCACTAATGGTGCAGGATCGACTCTGCTCGTCGCAGACAGACCAGGGCACACAGTCAACTCAGTTGCAATTTCTGGAAATACAAATTTATTTTTTCTTAGCACAAGCTGTCATTTATTTCTGCCTTCTTTATGCACAAGAACAACGTCACTGTATTCCTTCTTCTGCTTTTAGGTACCCCTTGCCCTCCCACCCCCCTCGTTGAGTTATTGCAGAGCCCATTAAATACAGCCAGGATAGGGTGTGGGTATGTGCACGGTGTGGTTGTGAGCAGGACTGCTTGGCACAAGCAGGAAGCATAATCACACTGAGCTCAGCCTACCTATCAAGCTGACATCCCCTGAGATTTTGTCTCCGAGGAGGTACCAGGGAAAATTCTTCGGTTCAGAGGTTAGAGTGGGGTCTACTGTAATTTAAGCATCTCTCAAATTCCTCTGGGTGTAATTTTCACACTGCCCAGTATCAGGAGAATAAGCATACAAAGCAGTCCAAATGCAAGGGCGTCTGAATTAATGTAAGGAGTCTGATATGCCCGTATCTGCATCATTTCTGAATTTTGTCAGCTGCACAGCAGTTCCTTCGGGATAGCACTGTGATAGGATGCCACCACGTAGAGAGCAGCCTAAGGCCATTTGGCATTGTAAAGCAATCCTAGAAACACCACTGTGGGGTCACAGCATCTGCCAGTGATGAATTCCAAAGTGCTACAACCGCTTTCACTAAGATGTCAGCTAGTAAATATATTTCTTCTCTATTGGTATCCCTGATGTTAGGAGACTGCTCTTGACAAACACAGTAAAGATTTAAACCTCAGAAGGGAGAAAAACTATTTCAGTTGAAAGACTGTCTTGGCCCTTGAACAAATGGGCATAAATGCATTATATATAAATTTAGTCTGGAAGTTACCAGGAAGTTCTAGGCATTAGAAGGCGTTCAGGCTTCGGGTCAGCCTCCAATAGCAGCTACTGGAAGTACCCTGCCAAAGGACACATGGTCACAGCTGATAAAAGATCCCTCAATAACCAGGATGGAAAGTTCAGGAAAGGGTCCTGGGCTCATTTCTGCCACAAAACTGAGAAAATGCTCTTGGAGAAGGCTGAGGAGAACCCAACCTTTCGAGCAATATAAGGACTTCTGCTGTCCTAGGGAAGGATGAGATAAGAGACATGTATGTGCAAGGCGATGTATAAGCCACAGAAGAACCTGGGAGGTCCATACTATCTCGAAGGACAGAGCAGCCAAACCAGCAGACCTTGCTTTCAAGGACAAGAGTGCCAGGAAGGGAACACGCATCCAGGGGTGAGCCTCAAAGCTCCTGAAGTAAGAGGTATTGCAGCCTGGGCATCCTTTGAGCCACCAAACCCACAGGCTTTGACCCCACAGCTCCCTCCTACACATCCACAGCAGAAGGTCTAACCAGACAAGCAATAAGGCATGAAAGCCATTTTTCTTCTTACCTCTTTAGTGCAGGCTATTGCTGACACTGAATAGCCTTAAATCAGCAGCAAGGTGAAAATTTGTAATTTACAGAAAAAATATGGCTACCTATTTGCTTGGAAACTGGAGTTTTAAGTACAGAAGGGATTTTGCGCCTTTTTATCATTAAGTGTATAGCTCTCATCTTTTTGCTAATCAAAATGCTGTGCTGATTTAACAGTGTCACTGTGTTCTGTGAAAAAGCTTAAGATAGCTCTTTTATCACCAGCTAGAACACTAGTGACTTGAAATTAGTTGTATACATGTAGGGGAAAACAGACTGTCTGTCCCTCTGCCAGAACAAACAACTCATATTCATCTGACTGCACAGAGTAGGGGTAAGCAATACTTAAGGAGGAAGAAGTTTTAGCATCTTAATAGCTGTGATACGGCTGACTCAGCTTTTTGACATTCCCATTAAAAAAAAAAAAGTAATAATAATCTAGATAATCCCCATCAGCTGAAAAGCAAAGTAGGTCTGCAGGTGGTAAACCTCAGCCCTCTGTAAAAGTTCAGGTCTGCATCCCATTTTAGTCAGACTTGAAGAGGCAATGGCTGAAAGGTCAGTGAGTAATTTGAGTTAGTTTGTATGTCCAGTTTTGTTTTACAAAGCGTACAGTCGCACTAAGGGAAGGTGTATACATAATTGGGGTTAGGGACAGAAGCTGGAAGAGTCACCAGCTGACTGCCTCTTGCACACACCTGCATCTGTGCTACCTGTTTTCTCATGGAAAAACAGAGGAAAGTTTATATTCTCTCACTTATCCTAATTGTTTTATCCTGATTTCCTTAAACTAAAATAAACAAACAAAAAATACAATTCTATACCAAGGTAAAAAAAAAAAAAAAAAAGCCTGTTGTCATAGCCACAGACCCCCACATCACAGCAGTCACCACTGTGAGAAAGCTCATTGCAAAGGGAGTACACCTTGCCCAGAACTAAGAAAAAAATGTAATTTTGTTTTTCTCCCCCACACCCCCCCAGCCAAAGTGATCTGAGAGCTTCTCCTGGATGGTGGCCTCCATCTCCCCCAGAGCAATGCTATAGGAGTGCTTCATAAATCGGGTGTAGGAGAGCAGCTCTGACAAGTGCTGGGATCAGTCAAAGCCCAAAGGAAAGCCCACGTGGCCCATTATTTAATTTGCCACCAACATATGATGTTAGTCTGTGTCTAACATTACCGGCCGTTATTTCCGCACTGCACACATCATTCTTTATCACTTGAGATTGTCCAAGTGTCAAACAACAGCTTGCTCGGGCAGGTTCACAGCAGAGGCCAGAGGCAGCCTTCTGTGCTGGTTTTTCCATATCCCCTGCCAGAAGTAAGCTACGTCCCTCACTTAGGGAGCACAAGGCACAAAGAGATGCAAGAGAGCAGAGCAAACACCAGCTAGAGGCCACAACAAACGTGGACCACATCCCTCTGAAAGCTTCACTGCATCTCTATTAAAAC